ATTGCGTAAAGGATCGGACCTAGGATAATACCTTGAGGAACACCAGCAGACTGGAAGTAAAGGGATGCATTGGTATTGTTGTGATTTACTTTGAAGTATCTATCAGTAAGGTAGGAACGGATAATGAGGAAGTATGTAGGTGGTAGAAATTTACGGAGTTTGTACATCAATCCAGGATGCGAGGCTCTATCAAACGCCTTTTCAACGTCAGGAAAGACTCGGGTGCAGTACATTCTGAGCTCCAATGCAGGGGAAACTACTTCAACCGCACGATGACATTGCTGGATCGTGGAATGGGATGAGCGGAATCCAAATTGGTGATCTGAGATAATGTGGTTAGAGTCAAGGATGGGATACAGGCGTTTTAAGACGAGTTTTTCCAGGATTTTTCCTATGATGGGTAAAAGAGAGATAGGATGGTAAGAGGATGGGTATTCTGGTGGCTTTTTAGGTTTGTGTATCAATTTGACAATGGACAATTTCCATGGGTCAGGAAAATATGTGGTACGGAGCACTACATTATATATATATATATATATATATATATAATATATTATATAGTATATATATATATATATATATATAAGCTAAAAAATATAAGGCTAGCATTTGAATGGGTGACCGCCCACCAGGGAAAAACCATGCTGGCAGAGTTTCTCTCACCTCCCCCGGGTATGTGAGACCCGTCAGCCTACTGGAGGCAACTCACACCGACCGGGCGTAGGGCTGATGACCCTACCCCGTGTACTTAATCGGGAATCGGGATATGGTCTACTAGGATGTTAGTAGCCCCTCTGAGGCTCTGTCCATGGACAGTCTGTTTCGAGGAAAGAAATATAGGTCCTCGTGCGCCTGCTGACTCCGAGCAGTCATAATCCATGGATCTAGACCGATTTGTCACTATCCTTGAACCCGAGTGAGTCGGTGGGAAGGACACTGCCAGATTGGCCTGCCGCTGCGCCATAGTAGTAATTGTTCGTAGCAACGTGAGGTTGGGTGAACCCCTCCAGGTTATCTGAGCTCCCGCAAGCAACATACGTCTGTAAGGAGACCGAATCTCGCGGCCAAAGATCTTCATGGTCTGTAGTGCCAACCGAAAAAAAAAAGTAAGGAATAATATGGCTTTCCAAGGAAGCAATTTTAGGATCTGTGAAGTAATGAGGTCGTGTCCAGAAGCTTTAAGGAAAGGCACTATCGAATTCAGGATTTAATTTTAGGAGGGGATTTTAATTTTCAGGATTTTGGGGAGCTTCAGCCCGAAAGATTTTTTTTTCATATACATATAACGATAATTATTTTTTTTTTAAAAGAAAGAAATTAACTACCTATATGAAATGGTGTTCAAGTGGTTCTTGAAGTCCTATTAAATCTAATTACATGAACAAGAATACTTTAAGAGATAGTTTAACTTATTTTTTTCTGTAAAACATAGTTATATTTTAACCATTTTTGGGGGGAGCTGAAGCCCATCCCCCTAGATCCGCCTGTGCGGGAAGGTAATCTGTTAATGATATTGAATATTCCTGAAGGATGGAATGCTTTAATTGCATCCCAAACTCTCCAATCACATATCACAAGCCTTGAAGAATGGTGTAAAAATTGGAGAATAAAAATAAATTTCATTCAATCCCATCAAATCACGTTTACCCTCTGTCGTAAGCCTATGACTTCCTGTCCAACAGTATCCTTCAATAATATCCCACTTATTGCAGTTGAACAAATCCGCTAACTAGCACTCCACTTAAATAAACGTCTTACTTGGAATCCGCATACTAGATTGAAATGACAAAAAACTGCTCCACCTTTCCGACTAATTCAACACTTAGTAGACAAATGCTCTAAACTTTCAATTAATTATAAAAGATTCATCTATATAACTATAATAAGATCTATATTGACATACAGAGTTGAGCTTTGGGGCTCCACCAAACCATCAAATTCCTATGATATCCAATCCTTACAATCCAAAATCTTTCGTAAAATCCTTAATGCCCCATATTTTGTCACAAATAAAGCCTTTCATAATGACCTTAATGTTCCATATGTCGCTGATTTAGCCCGTGCCAGATATCTATCCTTTCATGATAAAATCCAGTTCCATCCGAATCCAGTTGTGTCCAGGCTTGCTTCTTCCTCGATTCCTGATAATCCTCCTAGGTGTCTGAAAATTATTTAGGGACTGCTACCACTGGATAGTATCTCTTCAAGTCTGTTCATATCATTATTTCTATTTTGTGCATATTTACTGGTTGCATTTGTATACAGTTATAAATTTCATTAAATAAACAAACAAAAATTTTGAAGGAACAAAATTCATTCTTCCATATTTAAGAAACTAATTTTCATACCCATATTTTGGTAACTAGATTGCAAACTTAGTTAAGTAAAAATCTTATAAAACAAAAACTAACATTAGTTTGATACCATTTTTAAAGATAAGCTATAACCTACTAACTAGAATATAATTAAATAAAGTAACAAAAATTAACTTTCATAAAATACAAGATAATATGGTATGAATATACTCTTGTATCATTGATAGCATTGTCCTTGATTGAAACAGAATGTAATATTATTCAATAAAAACAGTTTAAAAAATAAAATACTAATTAACTTGAGTGAAATTTGTAATAGTTACATTGTAAGTTAACATATATTTAATTTTTTTATGTGTGGTACCAAAAATTAACTTTCATAAAATACTGTGTAATATTGTGGCACAGACTTTATGGGAATGAGTGGGACAATCGTCCCCCACTCAATAAAAATGTTGAGGGGAAGAGAATATCTTTTCGCCTCCCACCCCTTTTTCCTTTCTCCTTCCAATAACTTGAAGTAAAAAAAAGTTTAATGAATAAGCTATGAATGAGTAAAACGTGTAAACTAAAATCGATTAAGAAAAGTCTACCAGCTGATTAGGCTACTGCCTATTATACTACTACTAAAATAAAATAGTATATAACAATTTTATTGGTACCTATATGTTACTTTAATTCTAATTGTCGCTTGTATTCATAGATAATAATATAAATCTGCATATCCTAGGATTTTATAATTCAATCACCGTTCAATGTTCATGTGATATTCGTATTACATTTTCTGTAACAAATAAGTCAGACTGTGAAAAATGTTATATTTTATTTGAGGTTGTACACACTAAGAAATTAAAAATATTTTTCACTTTTTTACATTATTCTATTTTAGCTGAAAATTTTCTAGAAATGTGCCAAGGCTTATGAAGGTGTCTCTCCTCTCCCCTATGTTTAATCTAAACAAATACCTTATATATTCAATTGTATTTTTTTTTTAGATATTTTCAAGTATATATAATAAGTAAAACAATAAAAAATAAAAATCCTTACAACTATACAAACATATAAACAAATTATATTAATACAAACATATTTTAAATATTCAATATTACATTGGTATATTCAATATTATACTTTTCTATTATTCACAACATCTGTCATTGATTTAAACAGAATGCAATATTATTCAATAAAAACAATTTAAAAATAAAATACTTATCAACTAGGGCACGATTTGTAAAAGCTACATTGTAAATACAAATACCGCTGCTATCAGTGCTAATAGATGTTTGTAAAAATTGAGTTTTTTTCTAGGATAGCATAAAAACATATTATTCTCTTATGATTTATTAGTATAATTTCATATTTTATTTTCCTCTGCTATTTTCCATAGTAGCCAGATGTCCCAAAAGGGGGTTTCATGGCGCACTTTATTAGGGGGGCACATTTTGAGGGTTTATTAAATTTTTGAGGGGAGTACATTTCGGCAGGGTCATGAATTTTCGGAATGGTAAGTTTCAAACTAAGGACAAGAGAAAAACAGGGAACAGACCATAGTAAGTGTAGTTATATATGATCTATGATCTTTTAAATTTTACTTTTGTTAGCACTGTTATTAAGAAGAGGAGAGAATTGAAATATCTTTAAAAGGGGAGGGGAAATGTTCTTGCACTATCGAACTTGGGAGGAGAGATGGGCACCTCTGATAGTAGCAAACTTACTTATTGCAGTTGCAGACTGCAAAATGTTACCTTTAGCAGAAATAGAATAAACATGGACAATTTTTACCTAGGACCTTTTGCACTAACAGTAGCGATACATACATATAATTTTTTTATGTGTATCAAAATTTCTGTAAACTGGATTTATTTTTCAGAGCCTTTAAGTTCATAATTTTAGGAATTTTACTTTTTATAATCTATATTTATGGTCTTAGTGTTTCATGTCATTATATCCATGTGCGAATTTACTAGATGTATTTTTTGTATACAGTTGTAAATATCATATAAATAAATAAAATAAATATTTATGGTCTTTATTAAATCCTTTTTATCCAGAACACAAATCAACCTTGTTCATAATTTTTAGTTGCATAATTAGTAGGAAAAAGGATTAATTCAATGTTATTATTTATCAATAAGTAAAGTCTATTAACGATTTTAAACATTTTATAACACCATCAGCCAGATTAAATGTTTTGTAGAATTTCACCAAGTAATAAATAATTATACTGAGTTATGCATTTTTACTACTGATTATACTTATTACGAAAAATTATGAACACACAGTTAATTTGATATCTGAATGAAAATAATTCAATAAATAACACACTTATTATAGAATATAAAAATAAAATTTCTAAAACAATGATTTTTAATTCTTTGACTTTAAATAGACTTGCAACTATTTAAATAATATTTTGAGAATAGACAAATATTACTATTCAATGGCTAATTTTCTAGGCATTTTAAACTTAATAGTTACATTAGAAATCTAAATTTTCTATTCTTTTCCTCAATTCATTACCTCAATAATTTTTTAAAAAATTAATAAAGTCTTCATGATAGTTTATAGATGTTTTCATCAATTAAACGCTAATGTTACTGTACATATATATATATATATATCAGTCTAACTTTCAAATTTCAATCTCAACTGACTTAAGCAGTATTATTTGCTCTTGCCAACTTAAAATTTATCTTTGTCAATCAAAGAACGGAAAATTTCTATGACATCAGGGTAAAGAACCTCTTTAGCATTTTCTCCCCAAACCATATCTATATGAGTAAACTTCGGATCAGATACAGCTTGCAGTTTAATAAGATTGGGCAGTTTTGATGCCAGTTTCTGTACAGACTGAAATAAATAAATCAAAATTAATAATAATCAAAAATAATCATAGACATTTAGAATTAATTGTTTTATTTTCATAAAATAAAGTATAATGATCAGAAAAACATTACTGAATGAAGTTGAGAAACAATTTTGCATGCAAGTTCTTTTTTTTTTCTGGTTAAGATAATAAATATTTTGGACAAAAATAAACTAGGTAGCTAAATGAATTCATTTCTTTATATTTGACTGAATGGTAACCATGTATAAGCCAGAAAGATGTTTCCCAAGACGTTTTGAGATTGAAATAAACTCTAAATTATGGGGCCATTAACAGTTTTATAACTATAAAGTTGGAAGAATTAGTTTAAGAGTGGAGTCAAAACTTACATGATGAATTTTAAAAATAGTTGTTTTTGTAAATAAGCATATTTTTTTAATAATACAATTCGATAATAAAATTTAAAATATATATACACACACATATACACAAATACAAACATTCATACATATACAGTGCCCATATTGTTTAAATATTCATAGTTATCAATTTATAATTGTACAATATTTAACAGTAAATAATCAAAATCGGTAAAGTCAGTTAGGTATTTTACTACATATTAAAAATTATTGGAATGATAATTTGTCAACAGCAGCTAAATATCAAATTTAAATCATCAAATAGTATTTTTTATTTTAAATAATTTACATTTATTTTTTTTTAAATTCAATAAAAACTTTTGTTTTATTAGTTTTCCATTAGCACTGGTATTTAAATTATTTATGAATAGTTTATTAACGTCCTAAATATTGGACATGATAATCAAACATGTAGTTTATATCAACATTTTATATTTAATATTACGACCAGAGTTAATGTAAAAAAGTCTTTAACAAAAAATAAAAATAAACTAATCAAATTATATAGAATGGTGTCCTAGGTAGACCAGTTATAGCCCAGGGAGGATTGATTGTTTAAATTCTCTAACACAATCTTAATAAAAATAATGAGGACGAGATGGCCAAGCACGTTGGTGCGCGGGTCTCAGACTGCTCGGTTCTGAACATTGTGGGTTTGATTCCCACCTAGGTCGGTTAATTTTCATTTCTTGGCGGTCCTGGGAAATGGATCTTGACATTTCCACTCTGGTATATACATGGCTGCAATTTCAAGGTAGCCGTCAGGGGTTGCAAAAAGAACCGCAATAGGGTCCACTTGCTGGACTAGTTCTCTCCACCAAGCACCAATAGCAGTACCAGTAACAAAAATAATAACGTTTTAGTCTGATTAAAAAAATTAACTAATTATTTGCTATAAACTTAGCATTTGATTACAAAATAGTAATATTTATTATTACATACACTAAATACTAGTATATTTTATTTTATTAAATATTTCTTCTTTAAAATACTCCTCTATATAAAAGACTGTTTACATTTACTGCATTATTTATTTGTATAAATGTCAACACTTACTAATTGTCATCCAAACAATAATTTTTCTTTACCTCTGTAGCATTTTGCTGCTTAGAAATAATTCAGTCTTTACTCAGATGTTCGTATAATTTTGTTTTAAAAGTTTAAACTCGGCTGGAATGGGGCCCAGAAACATCAATCAAGTCTGGAGCGAGAGCAGCATTAATGAATGCAAAGTTCAACGGTGGTTCAAAAATTTTTGGGAAGGAGACTTCAGGCTTGAAGACAAAGAAGGACATGGAATGACTTCCTCTCTTGATGATGATGCTCTGTAGGCTTTGGTTTGGTGGAAGAAAGTCCGAGAACAACTGTTCGAGAACTTGTAGGGAAACTTAAATTTAGCAAATTGACCGTCGATAATCTCTTCAAGGTGATTGGAAAAATAAAAGAGCTTCAAAGTTGGGTTCCACACACATTAAATAACCGCCAAAAAAAACCAGTGTTTGTGCTACACTTCTTTACAAAAAAAAAAACGACCCTTTTCTGTACAGAATGGTTATATGTGATGAAAAGTGGATAACAGTAGACGTTATGGACAGTGCTCGACAAAGGAGAAGTAACAAAACATTTTCAAAGCTCCAACTAACCAAAAAGATTATGGTTAGTGTTTGGTGGGCTTCATTTCATTAGATAAACTACAGCTTCTTAAATCCTGGAGAAACCGTCAATGCGTCAGAAATTGGCTATAATGAAGCCATCTTTCGTCGATCGGAAGGGGCCCATTTTGTTGCATGACAACGCCCGGCCAGGCCACATGTCTCACATTTGATGCCACAAAAACTGTTGAAGCTTGGATATGCAACTATGCCACATCCGCCCTACTCTCTGGACCTCTCACCTATCATTATCATTGTTTTTAGAGAATTAGACCACTACGTACATGACAAAAAATGTAATTGACAAAAGTAATTAGAAAATGTGGTTTTGTAGCTTATCAATTCTAAAGATGGAAAATTCTATTCCAATGGAATGGAAAAGTTGCCAACACATTGGCAGAAATGTATTCTTAGTGGAGACTATTTTGATTAAATAAAACAGTTGTAAATCTTTCTTTTTTTTTTATACTGTATTATTTTATCCTGTATTATTTTCCGGACAACCCAATATTATATTTATCACAAAAATATGTGAAAAACCATGAAGTTCTCTTCTGATTAAAAAAAATGTATGTAATTTTTTTTAAAAAAATTATCATTCATAAAAAAAAAAGATGAATATGGTTGATATGAAATATAATGTAATAAAGTGAACTGAACACAATGGCTTAAAATATTCCTCGGTAAAGTAAATTAGATTGACAAAAAAAAAATTTTTTTTTTTAAAAAGGCCATACCTCAATTGAAGTAAGAATAACAAAAATTTGTTTTTCTGTTGATGAACACATTTTTTTAAATAAAAATATACCCTTTCGAGGTGATGTTTTACTGTAACTTTTTGCTTTCACTTACTATATATGAAATATATAGTTAAGGAAAGTATTGCGATCATGAAAGTTTTTGAATCTCAGTTTTCAACGGAAATATACGTTTTGAGGTCCCCTGAGTCCAAATAACCAAGTCCCGCAAAATGGTCTGTGTTTGTGTATGTGTTAACAGTCTAGCTCAAAAACGAAAAGTTGTACGAAAATAAAATTGCATATTTAAGCTTTTTATATGCTAGGAATGTTGCAGCAACGTTTTTGTCAAAATTGGTTAACCAGAAGTGGCACTTTATATCATGGACTGAACACATTTTTACGATTTTCTCGAAAATGGCTCCAATTTTGATTTTGATTAAATTCATCATATCAGTGTAAAATTAAGCGGTTATAGATAAAATGTAGTTTTTATTCTGATTGATGTTCTCAATAAATATAAATATAAATATTATATGTATGTATAAGGGTATTTATACAAATAAAAATACCCACAATGAAATATAAATAAATATAGCATCTGTAATTTTTACTTTCACTTTCCCTTTGTCTGAAAATATTTATTTCTGTTAAGAAGAGGGTGGTACGTGAAAGTTGTGTGATGTGTACACCGCACCAGATTTTTTTAGCCTACTCTTGTGAGTGAGAAAACAAACAACTATAATGGAGGCAATAATTATTCCATTTTTGGGGCAAGATTTGCCAGAGCTTCTTTGCTGTAAAGCTCACGCAATTAAAGCGTGAGATGAGTGTACTCAGAAAATAAACTTTAATTCTTTCAAAAATTGTTACCATATTTTCTTCTCATGACATTGATAAGCTAGGGAAAATAAATATTGAAACATTTAAAGAATTTTAAAATTTTGGATAGTCAAGATCCAAATGAATGTATAATATACTTATATATGTAATAGTTTTTTTTTTTTTTTTTTTTTTATTTCTTTATGACATTTACAACTGTATTACATAAATACATCAAGTAAATTTGAACATAATTGATATAATGACATGAATACACTTGCTGAGTAACTACCCAATGGTAGCACTCTAATGATATGACTACATTAGGAGATCACGGGGCCATCTTCTTTTCAGACGCCTCGGAGGGTTATCAGGAATTGAAGAGGAAGCAAGGTTAGAAACGAGAGGGTTGGGATGATTCTGAAGTTTTTTATGGAAGGATAGGTATCTGGATTGGGACAGATCTGAAACATAAGGAACATTAAGATCTTTATGGATAATTTTATTAGTGACAAAGTAAGGAGCATTGAGGATTTTACGAAGGATTTTGGATTGTAAGGATTGGATGCGAGAGGAATTCGATGGTTTAGTGGAGCCCCATAGCTCAACTCCGTAAGTCCAAATAGGTCTTATTATAGTCAAGTATATGAGTCTTTTGTAATTAATGGGAAGTTTAGAGCGTTTGTCTAGTAAGTGCTGAAGTAATCGGAAACGTCGAGCGGTTTCTTGTCGTTTCAGTCTAGTATGAGGATTCCAAGTTAGTCGTTTGTCCAGGTGGAGTCCTAGGTATCGGATTTGCTCAACAGGGATAAGTGGAGTATTGTTAAAGGAAACTGTAGGACAGGAAGTCGTTGGTTTACGACGAAGGGTAAAGGTAATTTGGTGGGATTTATTGGAGTTTATTTTAATTCTCCAGTTTTGACACCATTCTTCTAGATTTATGATGTGTGATTGAAGCATTTGGGATGCAATTGCTGGGTCATTGTTTACTGATAGGATACATGTGTCATCGGCATATGTGGTGATGACAGTGTTGGGATGGGTTGGGATGTCAGCTGTATAAACTGTATAGAGGATAGGACCTAGGATACTACCTTGAGGAACACCAGCGGACTGGGAAAAAAGGGATGAATAGGCGTTATTGTGATTTACTTTAAAGTATCTATCAGTAAGGTAAGAACGGATAATGAGGAAGTATGTAGGTGGTAGGAATTTTCGGAGTTTGTACAGCAGTCCCGGGTGCCAAACTCTATCAAACGCCTGTTCAACGTCGAGAAAGACTCCCGTACAGTACATTCCGCGCTCCAATGCAGAGGATACTACGTCTACCACACGATGACATTGCTGTATAGTGGAATGGGAAGTTCGGAAACCAAATTGGTGATCTGGGATTATGTGTTTAGAATTTAGGATAGGGTACAGGCGTTTTAAGATGAGTTTTTCTAGGATCTTGCCCATGATGGGTAAAAGAGAGATAGGACGGTAAGAGGATGGGTATTCTGGTGGTTTTTTGGGTTTGTGGATCATTTTAACAATAGATCGTTTCCAAGGATCAGGAAAATATGTAGAACGGAGTACAGCATTATATATGTAAGTAAGGAATAGGATGGCTTTTCGAGGAAGAAGTTTTAGGATCTGGGATGTAATTAGATCATGTCCAGGAGCTTTACGGGAAGGCAATTTTTGAATGATGTTGGATATTTCTATGGGATGAAATGCTTTGGGTGGCAGAGACATTTGGAGAGGAATATCCAGTTCTGCCTCAATACAATTGATGTGAGTCGAATTAAGGATATCGGGATGTGGGTTAAAAGTTTGGAAGAGATGTTGACCAAATAGTTGGGCTTTTTCTTCGTCGGATTTGGACCAGGTTTGGGAATCAGTAAGTAGTGGGTGATTAAAGTCTTGAAACTTAAGAAGTTTTTTGGTGGTCATCCATAATGATTTGTCAGTGGTTGAAAGTTTTTCAGTAAAATTTAGTAAATTTTGAATTTTGTATTTTCTTATTTCTGATTTCAGTTTGTTAGTCAGTTGGGTGTAATGCGATTTATCTGTTGGGTATCTAGTCCTATGCCACTTCGATCTTGCTCTGCGTTTTTCCTGTAATAAGATACGAATATGCTGTGGCAAGTTAGTATTTTGTGGGAAGTTAATCTTATTGATAAATGTGTTATTATTTATACTGTCTGTTATTGATGATGTCAGTTTTTCTATGGCACAATTAATGTCTTCTTTTGTCTTTAGCGGGATTTTGAGGTCGAGTTTGTTTTCCAAATCATCACGAAATTTGTCCCAGTTTACTCGTCCAGTGATCAGTTTAGGAAGTGATGGTTTAGGAGCAAAGTCAGAATGTAGTGAAAGCAGAACTGGACTATGGTCTGAAGAAAGGTCATCCAGGGATTTGATTATAGTTTGGGAGGAGGAAATCTGGGAGGTGATAAATATGTCCAGGATATCGGGACGTTTTTTGAGGGATGTTGGAAAATAAGTAGGATTCATGGGCGAGAGGATGGAATAATTGTTGGAAGAAGAAACTTGTGAAAGGGTATTACCACGGGAGTTGGATGATCGACAACCCCATCGTTGGTGTTTAGCATTGTAGTCTCCTCCAGCAATAAAGCGCGATCCGAGGGATTGTAATAAGGATTCAAGTAGGCTGTACGAGAGGGAATTGCCAGGAGGACAGTATACAGCTGAAAGTGTTAGATGGAAAGGACGAGTTGAGAGGATTACAGAAGTTGACTGAATGGCATCTGTTGGAATAGAAGGAATAAGTGAATGGGGTAAAGATTTGTGGATAAGGATGCAAGAACCGGCGTGGGCAGTGTTGTCTGGGTGGTCAGATCTATAGGTGATGTAGTCACGTATGTAGAAATGTGTCCGTTGGGTGAAGTGAGTTTCTGTCAGGAGAGCAATGTCAATATAATTGTCATGGAGAAATATGTCTAGTTCGTCACGGTGGTTTTGCAGTCCATTAGCGTTCCATAAGAGAATAGCTAGGGACTTCGTGTTCATCGAGGGAAGCTAAGCGGGATTTCGGAAAGGAGTCTGGTTAGAAGGGTTATGAGCGGTTTGATAGTCTGTTGAAGATCTATCAGGAATGACGATAAGATAGTGTTGATGTCGGATGGTGTTTGGCTGGGAAGTGGGTTTGGATCAGGAGGTTGTGATGAGTAGGTTATGCGATTAGGAATGTTGGGTGGGGGCTGGGCCCGTCGTGGGGTACGAGGAGGATCTAAATTCTGTTGGACTTGTGGAGGGGGGTTCATCCTGGGATTAGGAACGAATGGAGCTGGATGTGGATGCTCTGGCGGGAGTTTGACTCTTAAGGGTAAATGATGAGGAGGGATTTGCTGGCGAGGTTGAGGCTGAGGATTAGGGATTTTGGGCTTGGATTGGAAGGCCTGAGGCGCCTGACGTTGAGGCTGCTTCTTACTGATGGAAGACTGGGAGTGAGAATTTCTGAGATTCTGGTGAGGCGAGTCCTTAGCTGTAGAGATGGATGGTTGTTGTTGGATGACGAGGGAAGGTGAAGTCGGCAATGCTGGGAAAATTTCCTGATTTTCGATTTCAGGTGCCTCAGTGTAAGTTTTCTGAGCAGATCCAAGATTTTTCACCGCTGAGTTTCGTGATCTTTGTTTGTAAAGATTTTTATACACTTCACATCCTCTGTAGCTCGCAGGATGGGCTTCGCCACAAAGAGCACACGTCGCAGGCTCATCTCTTGGCTTCTGGCAAGTGTCTGAAGCGTGTAGGCCGGCACATTTAACGCATCTGACTTCGTGATAACAATAGGCCTTTGTATGGCCCAAGTTTTGACACTTAGTGCATTGTACAATTAGAGGCTTCTGTCTCGGTTCCTCAAAACGGACTATTGAGTAAACCAATCGTTGAACCTGGAATATTTCAATATTGGTTTTTGCTGGTTCTAAGTCTATAAAAAATAATGGGAGCGGATATCTTTCTCTAGGATGTAGTACAGGTGCTATGTGCCTGACGTTATGACCGATTTCTTCGAGGCCCGATTTGATAGCAGATATGGGTGTGGTTGAATGCAGTCCTCTCAGGACCACTCGATACGCCTTTTCTTGTTTTAATTGGTAACAGTGGAAGTCGTAGTTATTGGATGTTAAAAAATTGATCAGTTTTTTATAATTGTCTCTAGAATTAGTATTGATTTTGATGTCGTTCACTCTCGAGTAACATCGAAAATTTGGCTGTCCGATCAAATCTGCAATTTGTTGACCAAACGACATAAAGTTCTTAATTTTTGAAACAAATATTGGCGGCGGCTCAGGATCAGAAAAATCTTGAAGCTGCGGAGTCTTGTGAGATAAGTTTTTTTCTTGAATTGAGTTTTTGCTTTCTGATGTTTTTGGTGCAGTTGGCTCTGATTGAGTGGCATTAGATTTGCTCCTAGTTCTCGGTGGAGATTTATCTTGTTCTGGTTGCTTATTTGATTTATTTTTCTTTTTTTTTTTATTAGGTGAGTTTTGTCCCGATCCGGGAACTGAGTTTCGGAGACGCTTTTGGAGTGTACGCCTTTTCAAATATTGCGAGTCGGTCTCGCTAATTTCCGAAAAGGGTGTCTCATCTTCCGTGTCTTCACATGATGTGTTCTTATCCAGATCCATCATGATAAGTGTTAGAGAGAAAAAAAAAAAAAAAAAAAAAAAATATGTATATATATAAACCTAAATATTAAAATTAAAATTTATGAGATAACTTCTTAAAAACTAAGCTATTTACAAAATTATTTACATAAATATATACAGATATAAAATAAAATATAAAATAATTCATTTCCAAAAAATAAATAATCAAAGAAAAAAAATTAAATAAAAGAGTCTCTGGAAAGAAAAAAAAAAAAAAGAAAATATAAAGAAAAAAAAAATGAAGTTAAATGTCTTGGATTCGAACTGAGAATAACACTGAAGAATGTTATTGTACACAGTGCCGAGCCTTGGCTTGAACTTATCGGAGATAAGGTAAAACCCGCAAGGGAATTACTAGCCACATGGGCTAACCAAACGAGCACTAATTTATAACTGTTTCATTGTTAATAAATAGTCACTCACCTGATCATATGTGAATATAAAAATGTAAAACAATTAATATAGTCACTGTTGAAAAAGTCTTAGAGCAGTATTTTAAATAATAAGCACATTAAATCGTATCAAGGATAGAGCGACGTGTAAGTTTAATTGCACTAGCGGCCATGACACTTGCTACTATATGTAATAGTTAAAAATAAAACTATAGAGGAAAAGAAAAAAAAAAATTAGGTTTTTTACTCTTAATATTATATATAATATATTATAATTTATATGCTAATAAACATAAAACAATAGTTTTATCTAGAAAATTCGTCTTTTTAAAATCGAGACGATCCTCTTCCTCTTTTTTTTTTTGCATATGACTACTTTTGAAGGACAAATGAACATGACTAAATAACATTAAAAATCATTTTCGTTAATATAATTTTCTTCTATTTTCATTAAGTTCAATTTATAAAATAAAATAATTGTAATAACTTTAACTTTATTCACAAATAACAGTATTAGTACCACAATAAACCATGAGGTAATTGGTTTTATGTCCATAACTAAAGCACAAGAAGTTTTGCTGACATAATTAAAAGTAGTCAACATAGCAAAATATTTGTTTCTTCATGGTAACATTGGAATAAATTTATTGAAAGAACTTAAACTTCTATAAATTTATCTGAACTAACATAATCCACCTGTAAATTAAAAAATAAATAGCTGGGAATATTTTAGAAACTTAATTCACATTTGGCTTAATTCTGGAAATTCTCACCCCTGAATAACAGCCTAATCTTGTTTTAAAAAATATATGTATTTAGCTTTTTTTTTTTTGTTCTTCCCTACCTCGCCTTTTAAGCTATACGGGATTTTCCCGGGCCGGGCGGTGAGGGCGGGGAATTTAAAATCCCCTTCAGCACCGGGACGCGAACTCGTACTTTTTTAAATCTTCTCAAATCTGTAATCCGGTTGCCAGGCAACTCGCGGTGATGTGCACATGCTTTAGCCCATTCGGCCACCCCGCCCCCAATATATATTTAGCTATTATATGTTAATTAAAAAAAAAAGAAAGACTGTCACAGCATCCTTTGGCAAATGGGGCTCCAGAGAGGACTCTGTCCTCCCCTCCCCTCTCCACTTACCTCTCACCAGTTACAATTACTGAGTATATACAATAATTATTTTTCAAAAAAATTAATAACTTACATCTTGCGGTAGAAGAGGATCATTGTAACTCCAAAACAAGACAATTGGGGCAACAACCTGTTCAAGAGGATAGTTTGTGGGGGTTGAGCTGTTGTAGTTGATCCAGTTTCCTTTTGGTCCATAGTCAAACATCTTAAATTCTCCTATATAAAAATAACCAAGAATATGAGAAGAAATTAGTATTATTAATTGAATTTGCAACACAACATTTCTCTCTCTCACTCTGTCTGTGTATGTGTGTGTGTGTGTTTGTGTGTGTGTGTGTGTTTGTGTGTGTGTGTGTGCGTGCATGTGTATGTTTGTGTTTATGTGTGTATATAGGGTGAATACAAGTAGAGAGAAATATTTATAGGAGCAATAGTAGAATTTAAGAGCAGCAAAAAATGATATATAAACAATGGGCCAATTACAAAGAATACAATTAAAAAATAAAAAGCAGAAATGTAGGAAATCCAAGTTTGGTGTTTTTTAAGTGTCATAGTTTTTATTGAATAGGAACCAATAACTAAAGAAATTTTTAATTTAAATAATTTAAAATTGCTTCACTGTAAACTAGATAAAATTTACTTTAACTGGAAGCAGAGTTTGTTATGGTTAAAACCATTAAAAGAGGACTTTTGAGAGGCTAAACTAAGCTGAATTCTGTTTAAATATACTACAGATACCCTACTTTTAGAAACACTTCCACGTTTAATAAACTTTAGGTCCATATTAATAAAGTTGAGGTTTACTAGACAAAAACTTGAAATTTATCTCGTTGTATAAAAAATTATATGATTTTTTATCCTGTCACCTAAAAGTACTCTTGTTTTCAGCAAAAATGACTACAATTAACTGTTGCAAAGCTTTTATTTCTTGTTTTTCCATGATCTGGGGTTGCATTATAATAAACATAATTACCTAAATAGACTTTTTATCAATATAAAAAAAATGTTAAAAATAATTATTTTTCAAATATTTTCATGTAAGGTGGTTATGAAACTATTTTTCTTCCAGATCTCTGTCAAAGGAATTGATCAGTATTTAAGATTGACTTAAACTCTTGATCCTAATACTTATGTTTTCATGAAAATAAGTGAAGCAATCAGCAGGTTTCTTTATTTTAAATGTAAATAAACAATTACACCACTGGTATGACAATGGCGTCATTTAGACGTCTCTCTTGATTAAAACTGGCATCCAACCAACATGGGAAGATGAGCTCTCACCTTCCAGTACTGGAGAGATTCCTCTGTGGGACAGGAATGGCTTCAGTGAATCAGGTCAATCTGATCAGTCAGTGCCACAACCCATTCTTCACCTACTAATGTTCCTATCAGCGTTGACTCATAGTGTAATATAACTCTTGTTGTTGATATAGGAACATAATTTTCATTTTGTTCATGGTTAGATAGGTCTCACACTGGAGAGTCCAATTGCCAGCATCATGTATTGTAAATAAGCTTCCGTTTATACAGAGATCTTGGTTATTTACACCCATGAATTTTAATTTTAAAACAAAAGCCCAGCTCTTGATAGACTATTGAGAGTGTTTACTGCTGTTGGGAATTCAGGAATCTAATTTTTTGTGACATTGAGTGGCAAGAAATAATGATTATATATATGAAATATTGGAATGAGCAAATACATTTTAAATGAATTGACTCACCTGGTTTTAAATATTCAGTTGTCAGGATAACTAAATAAAATAAAGCATCCACTCCTGAATAACAAAGCTAATTTATTTTTACAAACTATAAGTAATGCATCACTCAAAAAGTCCTACAACAGTTAGTAGGCTGGACCTTCTTCTTAATCCTCCACTAAAGTGGGCCACTCCCAAATTCGTTCTCACATCCCAGCCTCAAGTGCTGTCTTTCTTTTCTCTCCTCCAGCATCTCTCTCCAGCTGCTGCCATCTGTTGGACACTTTTCCAGGCTTCTCCCTTTCTTTGTTTTTATTTACAATTAAGTCTGTCATAATGCACTCATTCCATCCCTATACATTTATTATCATCCCCTCACTCAATGTCACTTAAAAGAGTAGGTAGAACATTAAGATAGTTGTAAGATTGTTCGTTACTGATAACTATTTGTTACTCATAAAAACAAATATGGACCAATGAAAAAAAAAATTACCAATTTGGGGGAGAGAGGATTGCTTCAGTCTGAAACCTCTTATATCCCCCCTCCTGCATGTAGATTCACAAGTGCTCTATAATAAACAGCTGGTCTGGTAAAGTTTGAAAGTTGTTTTATTGCAGACCATTAAAATAACTAACAATGGGAGGTTACAGATGTGAGGTCACCAATTTCAATTAAACATTTTTCTATTTTTCAATGAAAAATAGAAACAATTTCATTGAAATCGGTGACCCCACATCTGTAACATCCCCTTGTTAGATTAACTAATTAGGTGAAATAAATATTACAAAATTTTACTTGTTAAATTAATATACATCATTTCATGTATTAAGTTGTATCATAGGAATGATAAGTTTTAATGAATAGATTCATTACAAATATACAAATATTTGTAACGACAATACAACATAGGCTTCAATCAGGGAGACCTACTAACTCCTTGATACTTTTGTACAGATTTCAGATTTGATGAAACCGATAGTATAATTGTCAAATACAACACCCTTACATAGGGTCATGTCTGGTCTATAGTCTGAGACCAGGAGAAGTGACAAAATCAGATTTTTTTTTATAAGTGAGACTAATTTAATAAAATTATTAATTCAGATAATTGTAAAAATAATAATAATAATCTTAGAATTTCGGTAAACTTCTTTGAAAATTAAACTTTTAAAGATGAATTAAAACATACAATACAATATATATATATATATATATATATATATATATATATATATATATATATATATATATATATTTTATATAACTTAGTTTTTAGTATAAGACATTTGTGGTAAGGTCAGCCTTATTTTATTCAATCAGTAGTGTGTTGGGTAAAATATTTTCTTCTCTTTTCTCATTTATCCAAAGTTGAAATATTTTTATTTTTTATACAGAAATATTAATTACAATTTCTTGTATATACATATATATATTAGAATTATTTTATGGAGAAATATTAATTTATGGAATAGAAATGATTAAATGCTTTGCTTCATCTACCTCAATAGTAAACTATGCTTATTTATTATTTATTTATTTTTCTTATAATTAAAGTGTAATATCTGAGTTATATATACTTACCTGTTCTATATACTTGAGATAAGTGATAAAAATTCTTTGATGATGTCCCTGCAGGTCCAAATTTTATTATATTTCCTAAATTTTTCTGAAATTCATAATAATGTAGTGTAATACTCAAAGTTATATTTTATTGGTTTATCAAGATATTATGAAGTTTAATATTTTTTTTTTCCTAATACTTCCATAAATTAAAAAATGATAATCAAGCTTATATTCTGTTTTGTTTTTTAAACATATATATATATTTCAAATTTCATTTTCCAATAAAAATTATCGATAGAAGTGTATGTTTTTTCTTAGAAACAGTGGTTCAGACAAAACATTGTTAGAAGCAAATTAATAAAATGAAAAATATATCTCTTTGGTATATTGTATAAGAACTCTAAAATAATAATTTTAATAGACATGAAGTAATAAAAGCCAATCTTAAGATTCTAATATACAAAAGAAAGTATAATCAAGGAAATTAAAAAATAAAATTTTTCCACTGCAATCCCTGGAAGAATTTCTTATTCAGTACTAATTTGAAATTGGTATTGTTTTTTGACCCTTAAGTAATGGCAAGTTTCATCCTCGGTACTCGTGTTTTTCTTCCGACACATAGAAGCGTCCAGTACTCACTTAACAAACAAAAATTTGGATCGACTTAACTTAAGGTAAGAAAAGTAAAGCCTCAGGTAGAAAAGTAATGATAGAATTATACCTTGGCAAAAATATGACCATATGGAAGTAGTGTCCCCATCGCCCAGCCATTTGCTGCAATCAGCCACTGGCTCTCCAAGTTTGGAGAACAATTACTCTGGCCCTCACACAGTACACACCTCCTCATACTACAGAAAAAAGTCACCTACAGTGGATATCATGAAGAAGAGAACCAAACGATCACTGCTGTCGTCTATAACAGCTCCAAAAAGCTGCTAGAAGACTCATGGCGAAAAGTCTAAATGAAGAGGCATAAGAAAAAAACATCATAGCATATGTTAACAATTACCTTATCTATATTGGTTCTATGTTCACCAACAAAAATTCCAATTATGTCTAGACAAATTTCTTGACTCCTTGATAAATTACTGCAAAATTCTTCAACACTTTTAATACTTGATGCTGATCTTGGCAAGAATTCATAAATTCTTCTACTTGTAAATTCAGCCTGAAATGATTATCAAAATAAATAAACTTATGGTTACTTTAGAATTGACAAATTGCAAACCATGTTACAAAATTACATAGATAGCATCAGCATTATTAAAACTAAAACGAAGAAAAGGATTAGCGCCAAGTGCATCTGGGTTAGATCCATAAGCTACTGGTGAGAACAATGCTGCTCCTTGTATTTTAGAATTATATTCTGGTCTTAGTGAATTCATTACAAAGAATACCAATGTACCTGGAAAATCATAAAATTTCACAGAAATTGCTAAAAGATAACAAAAATAAAATAAAAATATATTTATTTCATCACAAATCAAATATAATTTTTAATTTTGTTGTATAAAATATATTACCAAGAGAATGCCCCACATAAAATATTTTTTTTGCTTTTCTTATCTTGAGAATTTTGTCAATGAATGCAGGAATATCATAATAGCCAGCCTCATGAAAACTACAAAATTAATATTAATTTACTATTTCATAAACTTTATCAGATTTATTCGTTTATTCAGACATTTCTGTAGTCTGGATAAAGAAGCAGTAAATTTAAAAAGTTCAACTTTATGAAAATTGATTTATTATAAGAAATAATCTTTTAATTTCATATTGTGACAATTCTTTTTAATAATGAATATAGCCAAGAATTGAACTAATCTTTATTCATTTATTTTATTATATATATATATATATATATATATATATATATGTATATATATATATATATATATATATATATATATATATTATATATATACATATATAGATATATATATCCTGTATGAGGAAGAGTTATATTGGCTCTTAGGTTTTTCTATATATAGAGGGCACCTCTTCCAATGATAATTATTAATATAATGTTTAAGATATATTTATTTCACCATGTTTTATTTTCTTTTTTCTACACTGGCTGTGTTTCAGCTATGAGAAGATAGAATAAGAATATTCTATCAATAAAATTACATATATTAAGGCAAGGTCAATCAGATACCAGTTTTAAGTGGATTTTAATTTTCTTACTGAATTTAATAGTACTCCTTATGTTCAGTCCATAAATGGATAACAGTCTCTATGGGAATATGTAGTTAGGAGATTGCATATTATTATATTTTTATTTCTACTATGTACTATTGAAGACTGTTGTTCACTAGCAGATTCAAGATTTAATTTAGGGTGAGGGAGGGGCTCCAACCCGTTGCTTTTTTTATATATATATATAACAATAATTACTTAGGAAAAAAAACAAAGATACTAACAACCTACATGAAATAGTATTTAAGTGATTCTTGAAGTCTTATTGAATGTAATTACATAAACAATAATACTTTAAGAGATAATTTTTTAATATTTTTTTCCATAAAACATAGTTATATTTTACCATTTTGGGGGGGAGGGCTTCAGCCCGAAAGCCTTTCCTCCTCCCTCCACTGTATATCCGCCTGTGCTGTCGCTTGAACTGCTGAAGATATTGTTTAATTGGAATTTCAATTTCGTGATGATATTTGCACATATAGTGTTTACCCTTATATTCTGTTTTAATTAAATTGATTCGTAAATTAACTTATTGACACAACCTGATTATGATTTATACAATGTTGTTTTTTAAGAGATGACTAACATCACTATCACATCATGTTAAATATAGTTTTTGTATTAAACTAATTGTGAATTAGGTCTCACAGATGGCTTTAGAATGGTGTCATAGCCAAAACGTAGACGGTGTAGAAAAAATAAAATAAAACGTGATGAAATAAATATAGTCTAAACCTTATATTATTATATGTAGTTTCACCTAAAATAAAAAAACATATATAGGTAATATTTGATAATCCCCTTGTCTGAAGTTTCAGGTTTATGACCCTTCTTTGAAGACAATTTATTCTGATAGTTGCTGTACATTATATATAATCAAAAAACCTTCTCAACAACCATCTCATTACCATAGCATGCATGATAAACATCTTGTCACTTGATTAAAATTATGTTTAAAACTAAAATACATATTTTTTTTAATAATTGAGATGAATGTTGTTTTCACTGTCATATTCAATTATAATATGAACTAATACATACTATCTTAACTAATCTTATTTTTCTTCTAATTTAAGTTAACCACTTATTAACTAAGTGTTTGGTTTACAAGAATTTTCAGGCAATTTATATAGTCAATGTCTTAGTTATTATGTAATATTCTTAGTTATGAAAATTTTAAAATAAATAGATATGCATAATGAAACTCTCTGCTTTGATTGAACACAATTGATATTAATGAAGAAAAATCAACAAATACGTAAATACTTTATTGTATTTCTTAAAACTAATTATTATTGTATTTAAAGGGGCCCTTACAATCAATGTTTTTGAGTCAGCAAAACAAAAGCAGTGAAGTCTTTATATTTAACAAGTTTTTTTTCTTTTTTGCAGTTTTTTCTTTAGTAAATTTCAGTAACATTTCTGCCGATTAATTTTTTTTTTTTTAATTTCATGGCAAATAAATTTTGAATTTTATGTTTTCCTAAGTGAGGAACATTATCCGATGCATAATCTGAACGTTGACCTATTTAGTTATTTTATAAAGTTTTGTATTTATGTATGAACACTGAATTGTATCATCTTCTTTGTGAAGTGATTTTTTTTTTTCATGAACTAAATATAAACTAGTTAAACTACAATCAACAAATTTCATGTAAATTTTGATATATGGATCCATATAACATTTTTTCTTTTTTTTTTTTAGTACCTTAATTATATAATATATAGTAATGAAAAGTGAAAAGCAGATGGAATTCAGAATCTGCTTCCTCAATTCCTTGAATTTGACAGTTTATTCATTATTACATAAACATTGTTAATATTTTGAATTAACACAAAGATTTAAGCATTTCCAACTTTTGATTTGTAACTCAAATAAAATATGAACACATATAAAACTAAAATATAATGAGAGGGAAAAAAGTAAACAATGCAATAAACGAGGGACAAAAAATAAAATGTATGTTGCTAAATGTAGATCTATTTGGTGAGTATGGATACTGCTCTGTGGTTGTAAAACTACTATAGGACATCCTATAGCAAACCATTGCATAGAACAAAATTATTCTCTTAATTAACTGTTTTCCTAATATGGAAAATTTGTTTATAATAAATATTATACCTGAAGTTCCAGAATTGCGGATCTGTTCGACTATACTTTAAGCTATACTGGTTGTAAACTGTGCCACGTAAGTTTGTCAACCATACATCAAATCCTGTCTTCAGTAATAAGAAGGCTGAAATTAGATCATAGTAAAGAAATAAATTAAGTTTCTGGTTCAAAATTAATTAGTTTGAAAATCAATATATGTACCTAACAGAAATGAGGGGCTAAGAAGCCTAATGGTTAATAATAATTTATTTATTTGAACGGAGAATGTGAAAACGAAGTTCAAATTGAAAGCATTTTAATACATTTTCTGGAATGTTTGCATTTGTATCAAATTTCATTTATTTATTCTTGGTGCTATGGTCCTACAAAAAACCAGAGCCTCTCTTATAATTCTTCCCACTTTCCTCTATCTCAGCGAGGCAAGCAGTCAAAGCAAGATGGTCTTCCTCCATCATTTCTTCCACAAGGCAATCCTCCAGTAGGAAATTTGGGAATTGAATCCCCACATGGCTCAACGATCTGATTTGGTCACTCCTCACAATGGAGAAAATATCCGCCCTTGCATCATACTTACATTATGTTTCTTTATGAATCATGCTTTATTTATTATGCCAATTACTGTCTGAGATATTGATGTAATAATTATACTTTAGTAGCTTAGATTAAATGAATTAATGGGCTATAAGTAAATTGTAAAGTTAAATTGATTGCTTTATTGTAATTCAGGATTTGATATACTATTGAAATTTAGGTGGGTTGTGAATTCATACTTGCTGTAATTACTTGCTTCTGTGTTTCCATCTTCAGTGCCTCCTCTCTCTTCCTATTCGTGTCCCTTGCTGGGCTGCTAGGGTTTACTACTTCATGCTTACTTTAAAATAAGGAAAGCTCTTAATTTTATTACTGGCCAGCTAAATGATCACAATTCTGCATGAGCATCAATGCTGTAAGAATGGTAGAATCTAAATAACATCTGAGCGTCTTCTTTCTGCAGCTGAAGTGTTGTTTGATCTCAATCCAATCAAATAGGGAGTTTGCTATACTCCCATAACACATTATATCAAAGTTACATTACGTTTCTTTTGAACAATTGCTGCTTTAATAGGTAAAAGACTGAATGTGCACTTATGTATCATGAAGTATATTACCAAATAGCTTAGGTCAACTGTTTTCTTTATGGTTTATACCTATGATGAAATTTTTTAATAATACAAGTTATTCTTTTTTTATAGAAATAGAAAACCTGCTTACAAACTCTGGAGTTCTCACCAAAAACAATAAAAATAAAACTAAGAGATCTAATGAAAACATTTTTTTTTTTTTTTTTATAATTCAACTGACTATAGTCAGTCATATTATAATTGTCAATGTCAGTTGCTAAAAGTGTGATAAAATATCTATTTAGAAAAACCCAGGAAACCTTATACAGATTAAATTTTTGTATAAACAGTGGGTGAGGCTAAAGTTGTCAAGAATGGAACATACTTTTGGAGCACAAGAGGTACAAATGTCACTAATATCTTTTGGCTATCAAGCTAATCACTGATTTAAAAAATTTCCTCACTGTATATATTGTGTTATATCTTAGTACAAGTATGATATTTACTTGTAATGGTTTGCCACCAACATTCTGTATTCATATAATATCCATACCAGCTTTATATTTTTGTTTTTAAAGTCACTTGTATCCCTTGGCGATATTATTACAGCGACATTATTACAAAAAATATACCAAGATCTTTGTCAGGTCCTCTTGCAATCCAAGAATCTGCAGCAAGCAGTAATCCATGTTGCAAAATTACAGGTGGGCCTGAGGAGTTACCTATCCTATGTATCCAAATACTGTACCCATCTTCTGTTATCACTTCTATGTCTGTTGCTGAATAACCAGCAGCCTCAGCTAAATCTTTCTGGAATGGAAAAAAAAAATTAGTTGATTCCATTATTTGGTCGATTTAAAAATTTTGATCACATTTATACCACTAGTTAATAAATAATTTGGTTAAATCAAATTAAAAGCTGTTACATGTTTTTCCTCATATTTTATCTTTTTGGAAGCATAATTAACATTCCAACCAAATTAGATCCTTGATGTCTAAAACGTAAAACGCGAGTGGAAATTTTCGATTCTGAGACTACCTATATTTTGTTTAACTTCTCCCACGAATACAATGCTTCCCTACCTTCAGCAGTGAGGAAGCAAAACAAGAATAGCAAATTTGCATTTTTCATTTTGTTTCCTCACTACCGCATGAAGGAAAGAATTGTATTCTGGAGAGGTAAAAAAAAAAAATGTGTGGTCAGAATCGAAAATTTCCTCTCGTGTTTTACGTTTCAGACATCAAGGATCTTCTTTTTTTTTCAAGGATCAAATTTGGTTCGGTGCATGTCTGTAGTCAAATCGATGTAACGGACATACTACCTTTCATCCGATTTTCATGAAATTTTCTGTCAAGATGATCCCATGTTAATTTTATCAAATTCCATCTACTGCTTGTGCACGCGTAAATGTATTTTCATAGATTTGCCAATATTTCAGAAATGGCTCATTCCATTTGGCTCATAGTTGGATAAAAAGTTGGTATTGGTGGAAAAATAATGTAGTGTCAGTTTTATTGAATTCTGTCCACTAGTTTCTCTTATATATGCACAAATGCGTTTTCCTTGATACGTCCATATCTTTAAAACCGTGCGTTTGATTTGACTCAAATTTAGAGGGAAGTTAGGGATTGTTAAACAGATAATCATTCATTTGTCAATTTCATCAAATTCTATCCACTACTCTCAAAAATAATACTTCTGTTTTGGACCAGTAAACGTATTATTTGACATACCTATAGTTTGAAAACTGCGCGTTGATTTGACCCAAACTTGGAGGAAATTTATAAATTAGTATAGAAATTACCTAGTATCATTTTCATTGAATTCCATTTTATAATTAAAATTAATATAAATAATTGTTAACAATATAATGGCTGTGAAATGCGAAAGGCATAGATCATATGGAGTGGTAGTTAGGTTGAACAATAGTTTTATATGGTTAAAAAATCTTAGGTTTTATTCAAAAAATTAATTTATACTGTATTGTTTCGTCGATTTCAATCGTTACGGGCATAACATTTACTGCCATTACTTAGATTTCGTGTAATCTGAAAATGCGGAGCAAATTTTTAATTTTAGTAAAATCTTGCATATTAGTATTCGCTGATAAACAAAACTCGTGTACATCAAATCAGTTTATGTTGAGGGATTACTTAATTTACGAAAACGGTTACTCCTAGAGATTTTATTATCATACTAAAAATTTTAGACCGTGTAATATAGATAATTTTTAGCGAATGAAACCGGTGAGTAAACTATACTGACCTTGCTTGGCAGATGTTTTTTTTTTGCTTCCTCACTACCGAAGGTAGGGAAGCATTGTGTTCGTGCGAGAGATAAAAAAAATTTTTTTGCTCAGAATCGAAATTTTTCACTCGCGTTTTACGTTTCAGACATCGAGGATCAAATTAGGTTCGGTGTCTGTCTGTCTGTAGGCAAATCGATGTGACGGGCATATCACCTAGTACCGTTCATCCAATCTTCATGAAATTTTCAGGGATTATGCTTATCGGTGCCTAGATGGCTCCATATCAATTTTATCAAATTCCATCCAGCACTTCCGCTTACGCACGCGCAAACGTATATTTTTAGATATGCCAATATTTCAGAAAGGGCTCGTTCGATTTGGCTCAAAGTTAGATAAAAGGTAGACTTTGGTGAAAAAATAATGTAGTGTCAATTTCATTGAATTGTGTCCAACACTTTCTCTTATATGTGCACTACTAGTCCGCCGTCCGCGCATTTTTTCTGAAACTACTAGACCGATTTTTTTCGAATTTGGATATAAAATCAGAGGTCACCCGAGGATCATCCTCCTTCAACGACATTACTATTCGCCTTCTAGTTTCAAAATGGCGGCCGAAAAACCTGCGTTGCTATAGACTGTAGCGCCTAAACGAATGTAACGATTTTGATGAAACTTCGCTAAAGTCATTTTTTCTACGCCCTCTAAATTTATCTATACTACATACTTCAACGAAAAGAAGCTCAAAAAAAGTTACGAGGGATGGTAAAATTAAATTCCGAATAACTCAAGAAGTATACACATTTATGTCAATATTGTATGGTTTTTTAGAAGTTTACGGAATTTCCTAAAAAACAAAAAGAAATTCGTCAAAATCGGACTATTAGGAGCAAAGATATGGTCTCTAGTTTTTTTTAGATGTGCTATTGCAAAAGGTTTATCTTTTTTTTATTTCTGAATGTGTTACTGAAGTAATGCTATTTTTTTTAGCATATTACTAATGATTAAAAAAAATTTTAGTCCAATAATTAAAATCACCTTTTATTTATTTTTCTTTATAACTAGGAATTTAATGTTACTTTATATGTATAATTGTTTGGAAATAATATACCAAAGAGAAATAATTTGCAGTGGTTTTTTTCAAATTAATTATCGTTATATATATATATATATATATATATATATATATATATATATATATATATATATATATATATATATATAAATCTTTCGTGCTGAAGCCCCTCCTCCAAAATTAAATCTTGATTCGGTAATATATATACTATTATTAGAGCATCAGTTCGTATGTAATAATTTTCAACTTTAATTCTATGTGTATTAAAGGTGATATTTTGTAGTCTGCAACTGATATAAGTAGTCTGCTACTATGGAAAATAGCAGATGAAAATAAAATATGAAATTATTCTAATAAAGCATAAAGAAATATTGAGTTTTTATGCACTCTTGTAAAACAATAAATAAATTTATACATAAGACCTTTTGAACTAACAGTATTGAAATTCATGTTCAGTATGCATTTTTTTTTTTTATTTTTTTTTTTATTAAGCATAATCAAGTATGGAATATTCAAATACGACCCTCTGTTGTTGAATGTTGAAGGGTAACTGTAATCGGCTATTCCGATTCTGCTTCTCTCAGAGATTTTATTCTCATACGAAAAATTGTATACCTTGTAATATACAACGGAAACGGTGAGGAAGCTATACTGGCCTTACTTGGCAGACGTTTTTTATTCAGTTCCTGTTTCCTCATGATGTTTTAGTTTTCAAAAAAATCTTAGAATAATTAAGTGATGATAATCATTCCTCAATGTTACGAAGCGAACTGAAACATTATTCTATTATAATATGAGATGTAATTTATTAGCCTTCGAATAATACAAGAAATGAATTTGTTGGTGAAAATTGTGAACATTAATACAATAAATTTTTAAAAATTGCTACAAGGTTGAATTTAGATTTTAAAATTAATCTAAGCTATGTATATTGGAAGTTGGTAATTTGGAATACAGGCACTTCGTATGAAATGAAAGAGTGAAATTTAATATTTTAGGAGAAAATTATTTCGAACGTTTTGTATGAAAGTGTGTGGTCTCTAAAACAGTTTTTTCTAAAGATTTTTTATTGGAGCTATTATTTCTCAAACGGTTCTAATCGGCGTATGAAAATACGAAGGGATTTTCTGCATTTTTATTACCGTTTCAGTGCATGTTTGTAGTGGGTAGGTTAGTTGTTTTCTGTCTCTTTCTCCTTAACAATATTTTTATCCATTTTTTTTTTTTTTTTTTTGTATGTTGAAATTTCATTTTATATTTTCTTTCTTAGGCCTTTACATATAATTGTCCTAGCTTAAATATTTTGTTAAGTGTCGATACCCATATTCGGCCTTACACAGAACACGATATATCTCGGCGATACGATATCGCGCTATATGCATGACGATATTATATCTAGAACAGAACGATATTACATATAGAAACAACATATTATATCATACATCTTTGTGGGCGATATTTTAATTAACAATAACAGAGAATACACAGAAAGGTGATTCGACGATATATCAAAACTAGTGTTGCCCAAACGCGAGACCAAGGCGGTCTTGGTCTTGCGCACTTAGTGTTGGTCTTGAGCTTATTGCTATTTATTAATATGCTACATTAATTATTAGAAAAACGCAACAAAATAATCACAATTAGATGTTTTATTGACATAAACATTGTAAAGTACAACTAAATCAATAAAATTAAGAGTAAACAAAGATAGTGATAACCCTCTTCTATCCCTCTGATTATATGGAATGGAGTTGTAGAGTAAAGACAATTTATACATTGTTCCCAATGATTTTAATTAAAAATCTATTGTGTCCACTTACAAGACTTTCCTATATATTTAAAAAAAAATACAACTTTAAATGCGTCCATTAGAAAAAAACAATTGAAATAGATTCATTTACCTAAAAACCGATCAGTGAAATCATTAGGGTACGATTCCTTAGATGAAACAAGTAATGTAAACGGGTAAGTGAACTGCCATTAAAATCAGCGTATAAAAAACAATATATACTATAATAGCTAAGACTGGTCCGATTCAGATGATTTTTTTGTCAGAAATTTAATGAACTTTCAAAAAATAGGCTTCAAAACAGATTCAGAAACGTTTAGATCCGTTTAAAACCGATAGGTGTATACGTGGTGAGTTAGCTCCCCAAAACAATTTTCTTTTCTTTATAACTTTTTTTCTTGAATTGTATCGAGAATTCACTAAAAATACGAAAATTGAAAAAAATACTTTATGTAGAAAATTAGAAGAAAGTTTTATTAAGTTTCTCGGCTCGTTAGAGCCGTATAATGTTAATTTTAAACTTCATAAAGCATAAATACATATGTTCATACAATTAATTGATTAGTGTTTTTAGCACATACGTTAGATTCGCACATAAAATTCATAAAACTTTTTATTAGTAGTTTAGGTATTTAGGGGGTTATTATTTTGAGCACTTTGAGATTATGAACAACTGCCGCGCGTCCTTCACGTTCTTTAT